ACACGGCTTAGCCTTAATACTTACCATCTGCGCGCATAATTAAACATTTAAACATGACTAGGCTCGATAATATTTTTATCGAGCGATTTAAACATGAATTAACTTATCAGAAAATTATTCTGAACATAAACGTGATATTCAAAAATTAATTCGAATATCCTTGACTGAATTAAATGGTTCCGAATAATTACGCTTAATGAAACAGATATTCCGGAACAAACATGATATTATATTAATAACATGACGGGGTATTACACATGTTGATTTACCAGGCAGATGATCTGCTTCCGTTGGGTTACACCGATTCTGACTTCTAGGCAGATCAGGACGAAAGCAAGTCAACCTCAGGGTTTGTGTTTACTTTAGGAGGAGGAGTCATAGTATGAAGGAGTGTCAAGCAGAAATGCGTGGCGGACTCAACCATGGAGGCTGAGTATGTATCAGCCTCAGAGGCAGCGAAAGAAGCTGTATGGCTCTGGAATTTTCTCCTCGACCTTGATGTGGTACCGAGTTTTCCCGCTGCAATCACAATGTTCTGTGCAGTAGCAAATTAGAAGGAGTCATGGACTCATAAAGCGAGTAAACACATAGAGCGCAAGTACCACCTGATACGAGAAATTGTTGGATGAGGAGAAGTCGTTGTTGCCAAGATACAATCAGAGGACAACCTAGCAGATCCTTTTACGAAGAGCCTACCGGCGAAAGTCTTTACAAGACACGTAGAAGGAATGAGAGTCATATGTTAGGGCGACATAGTCGACTAGTCTTTGAGAATTAGATTGAAAGAAATTATGGTTATTTTATTTAGCCATGAGCTTATAAAACATAAGTGGGAGATTGTTAGAGGTATGCTGTAAAAGCTATGTGTTGCAGATTCTATCAATACTATTTTGATTTGTTCATCATGTTTATGGTAGACTAGTCTTTGAGATAAGATTGAAAGAAATTGTGGTTATTTTGTTTAGCCATTAACTTATAAAGCATAAGTGGGAGATTGTTAGAGGTATGCTGTAAAAGCTATGTTTTGCAGATTCTATCAATTCCATTTTGATATGGCCATCATGTGTCGGTCAAAGTACATATGTTTGCAGTTTATTTATTTATGAAATCATACTCCATGTCTTATATTGAGATAGTGTGGTTCGAAGAGTTTCTAACAAAAAGATCACCTATCGGTTCCTTATAAGACTAAACTATTCGTTCACAGTCTAGACAGACAGTGAGACCCCTCTTGGAAAAAGACTGTAGTGTATTCTTGATTCAGTTGGTCTTTGACTGAAGGATTACTCTAGCACTTATGTTAAGTGTTGAACAGGACCACAGAAGGATAAGATATGAGACTCACTGACCGTTGTTGTACCCTAGACCTTCAGTGATTGATGTGTTCTCTTAAGCTGTAAGACAATATAAAATAGGCATATATTT